CCTCCCCAAAACGGCCGGAAGTCCAACCTATACGCCTTTGCCATCGTAAAACCTGTAGCGCTGACCAGTCGGAGAATCTTTTTGACGATTTTCTTCACAGCCCAGTGATGAAGTGTGACGAAAAGCGGCTTTTCTCCGGCTTGGCTTAGCTTGGGTTGTCTTGACTTGGCTGCTTTCTAGTGCCAAGTTTAGGGTCGAGGTCATCTCGTCCGAGAAAGATGGAGGCTGGTCTAATTTGCCCAAGAGAGATGGAGACATCTGTAGACGGGCTCGAATCAGGCGACCAGTTTCATTCTGAAATATAAAGAAAAACGGACTTTCTACGAATCCCTTGATGAGTTATTGGCAATCGACTTTCCATCTCAATACGAAGAGAAACTGGGTTTCTATTAATCTCCTCAATTAATATTGTTGGGGTGACTTTCATTCCGTATGAAAGTGCATGAAGAAGAGATCCGTTGGTCGATCTCACCACATGAAGACGGCTGAATCGCATTGTACTGCAGCCGTTTGTCTTTTATACGCAGTCCACAAGACCTCCTCCCTCGTTTCAGGCGAAAACGGACTGAGCTTTCGTCCATCGTAAAAGTCTCACGTTTAACATTAGGGCAAGAAGACTATCCGGCTCTATCTTACCTCTTATGCAGACTTAATTAAGCCAAAATAATAAAAAACGTAGAGTGTTTTGGCTAATTATTTTTGATACTAGTCCTGCTACTTTTACCCGAGTGTGTGTATGTGGGTATGTGGGTTTGTGTGTATGTGAAACTTCATTTTGACCATATAATAACGCCAAAGAAAGCTTGCCATCTTAGTAAGGTTTCTAGATATATGTGTGCTAATGATCTAATCGCTATGACAACCGACAAAGGTGGAGCAGTGGTAGTCATGGGTAGGTTAAGCTATGTAGAAAATATGCTAGTTCATTTAATAAATGACAGTGATACGTATAGGCTTTTACTGAGAGACCCAACAGAAAGAGTTAAGACTAGGCTGAGGGTTGCCATTAAGTTTTGCGTTAGTAATGGTGAAATGGAGAAGTGGAAAATGAATATACCACTCCAGAGAGATGCAAGGGCCCCAACGGCTTACGGTATCCCCAAGGTTCACAAGGAGAGTGTCCATCTAAGATTAATTGTAAATAATAAAGGAAGCGTAATGCATAAAATCTCACGGTTTCTATGCCTACAACTAAGGAACTCTGCCAATTTTGGGATATATTCAGTAAAAATTCGTATGATTTTGTGAAATTGATTGATCAGCAGACATTATCAGAAGAGGATAGGCTGGTAGGTTTTGATGTTGTGCCAATGTACACAAACATTCCTGTTCGAGGAGTTATTCAAGCTCTGATACAAACTCTGGAGGAGGATGAGTGTAGCTTCCATTATTCGACTTATTAATCTATGCATGAGGACCACATATTTTACCTTTGTTGATAAGTTATACGAACAATCTCAAGGACTAGCGATGGGACCTTACCTGTTTCCCATCTTGGCGAACAAGTACATGACAAGACTGGAGGAACACTTCCTGCACGAGATAATACTAACCCCCAAATTGTGGGTTAGATACATTTGTCATCTGGCCTCCTAATAAGGAATGATTAGATAGTTTCCTACTTTCGCTCAACCGGCGTGATAGGAAAATGAGGTTCACGATGGAAATGGAAGAGAATAAGTCCTTACCCTTTCTGGAGGTTTTCATCATTAGAGAAAAGGGTAAGTTAGAAAGAGATGTTTATAGGAAGCTAAGCTTTCATCTGTCACGTGTCAGGCATCATCTTGGTGTAGTATGTTTGTACTCTCTTTCGTCAAAGTATGACTTCTTGCATTGATGATGTTAATTTTTCGAATTAAATATTGTTTTCGTGACTAT